TATATACAGTTGTGTGAAAAAGTGTTGGCCCCCTTCCTGATTTTTCATTGTTTTGCACGTTTGTCACACTTGAATGTTTCAGATCATCAAACAAATTAAAATTTTAGTCAAAGATAACACAAGTAAACACAGCATGCATTTTTTAAAGGAAGGTTTTTATTATTGAGAGAAAACAAAATCCAAACCCACATGGCCCTGTGTGAAAAAGTGTTTGCCCCCCTAAACCTAATAACTGGTTGGGCCACCCTTAGCAGCAAGAACTGCAATCAAGCGTTTGCGATAACTTGCAATGAGTCTGTTACAGCGCTGTGCAGGAATTTTGGTCCACTCATCTTTGCAGAATTGTTGTAATTCAGCCACATTGGAAGGTTTTCGAGCATGAAACGCCCTTTTAAGGTCATGCCACAGCATCTCAATAGGATTCAGGTCAGGACTTTGACTAGGCCACTCGAAAGTCTTCATTTTGTTTTTCTTCAGCCATTCAGAGGTGAAGGTCCTGGGAAGGTTCATCCCTGTTCCATGTTTTCGCCATTTGTGGATAATGGCTCTCACTGTGGTTCGCTGGAGTCCCAAAGCTTTAGAAATGGCTTTATAACCTTTTCCAGAATGATAGATCTCAATTACTTTCTTTCTCATTTGTTCCTGGATTTCTTTGGATCTCGGCATGATGTGTAGCTTTTGAGGATCTTCTGGTCTACTTCACTTTGTCAGTCAAGTCTTATTTAAGTCATTTCTTGATTGTGAACAGGTGTGGCTAGAGAAATTGTGATACACCAGAGTTATGTTATGTTTTAACGGGGTGGGGGCACAGGGCCATGTGGGTTTGGATTTTGTTTTCCCTTATTAATAAAAACCTTCCTTTAAAAACTGCATGTTGTGTTTACTTGTGTTATCTTTGACTAATATTTAAATTTGTTTGATGATCTGAAACATGAAAGTGTGACAAACGTGCAAAACAATGAAAAATCAGGAAGGGGGCCAACACTTTTTCACACAACTGTGTATATATATATATATGGGAACTGTTCAAATTTATGTTAGAAGATTGGGGAGATTTTCCCTTATTTTCTGTCCCTTCAATGAGTGTGCAAGAAATATGGGCGTGTGTATTTCTGGGGCAGGAAAGCACAAAAACATTGCCATAAGTTTTAACTCTTCTTCACTGTACTAAAAATGTGTTTTTGTCTGTATCTTACAAGCATTCCCAAACACATATTACCAGTTCCCACATCTGGACACTACAACACTACAACATATAGAGATTACCACAGCCTATATTTCTATAATACATTTTAGGATAAAGCAGCATTGACATAGGCTGTCCACCATTATATAATGGGGTTACCAACAAAGTCAGTTTTTTTCTGTCCATTTCTGAATATATATATCTACCAGTGTATCTCACGTCTCTTTTATATTGACCAAGTTGTAATTCAGGCCTACCGGCCCTTTATGGTTTTGCCACAGGTCCGGATAGTTTGTTCTTCAACAGGCAACAAATGGTACGTGACCCAAACGCTAATGATATCTGGCAGGGGGTGTCATGTCATTAGACTCTTTTTTAGAGGTGGTCTGTCAGAGGAGGTCAGCCAAACCCTTTTTGATATTTCCAGCTCATGATGTTGGTCTTGACGTCCGCCTCTCACACAGACACGTCTTCTATGCCCGCTGTAAATGTAATTGAAAAAGTTAGTTCATGATGACACACAGAGAAGATGAGATATCTCCCACTGTGACTGAGGTAATAGCACATTGGTATCACTGACAAGCAGGCTGAAAGGAGGATAATTCCTTGTATTGACCCTGTCTCTCCCTGCAAGTCATGTTGTCCACGTGTGACAAAGCACTGATTCTCTGCACGCTGGATTTTTTTTTCCCTCAAGTCTCAATCCCAAAGCCCAAAATGAGAGAACCATTAATGTTGTATGTCCTCTCTGTCCTCTGTGAATTTATTGTGATTTATAAATATGCTGCTGAGAATGAAATAACTGATTTCACGCAGAATTTTTCATTTGATAAACTGTCAGGCACATCTTATTTAATCCTGTATTTTTATCCACAAACAAATATATAGAACTAAATATACAGTACTGTGCAAAAGTTTTAGGCAGCTGTGACACCATGGTGTAAAGTAAGAATGCTTTCAGAAATAAAAATAGTTTATTTTTATCAATTAACAAAATGGAAAGTAAATGAACAGAAGAGAAATCCAAATCAAATCAATATTTGGTGTGACCACCCCTTGCCCTCAAAACAGCATCAATTCTTCTAGATACACTTGCACACAGTTTTTGAAGGAACTCGGCAGGTAGGTTGTTCCAAACATCTTGGAGAACTAAGCCCAGATCTTCTGTGGATGTCGGCTGCCTCAGATCCTTCTGTCTCTTCATGTAATCCCAGACAGACTCGATGATCAGGGCTCTGTGAGGGCCAAACCACCACTTCCAGGATTCCTTGTTCTTCTTTATGCTTAATGACATTGGTTGTATTTTTGGGGTCGTTGTTCTGCTGCAGAAAAAAATTGTGGCCAAGCACACACCTCGCTGATGGTATGGCATGATGGATAAGTATCTGCTTGTATTTCTCAGCATTGACCCCATTGATCCTGACCAAATCTCTAACTCCATTGGCAGAAATGCAAGGAACCTCCACCATTCTTCACTGTTGCCTGCAGAAACTCATTATGGTATCGCTCTACAGTGCTTCAGTGAACAAACTGCCTCCTGCTACGGCCAAATATTTCAAACTTTGATTCATCAGTGCAGAGCACCTGCTGCCATTTTTCTGCACCCCAGTTCCTATGTTTTTGTGCATAGTTCAGTCGCTTAGCCTTGTGTCCACATCGGAGGTATTCCTTTTTGGCTGGAATTCTTCCATGAAGACCACTTCTGGCCAGACTTCTCTGGGCAGTAGATAGGTGTACCTGGGTCCCACTGGTTTCAGCCAGCTCGGTACTGATGTCACTGCTAGACATCTTCAGATGTTGAAGCGAAGTAAGCATGAAGAGTTTGAACCCCAGTCTGCTTTAAAATCTTTGCCTGGGAGAGACCTTGCTGATGCAGTATATCTACCTTGTGTCTTGTTACCGTGTCCAGTCTTGCCATGGTGTATAACCTGTGATATGAAACTGTCTTCCACAACCTCACCTTAGTAGCAGAGTTTGGCTGTTCCTCACCCAGTTTTAAGCCTCCTACACAGCTGTTTCTGTTTCAGTTAATGACTGTTTCAACCTACATATAAAATTGATAATTATTTGCACCTGCTTGGTACATTTGGTTAAACATACACCTGATTCTAATCCTACAAAATTCCTGACTGTGTGCAGTTGTGCAAATGTAAGAATTGATGCTGGTTTGAAGCCAAACGGAATTCACACCAAATAGTGATTTGATTTAGATTTTTCTTCTGTTCACTCACTTTGCATTTTGTAAATTGATACAAATAAACAATAAAACATATGTTTTTGAAAGCATTCTTACTTTTCAGCAAGATAGATAAAGATGGATAGATAGATAGATAGATAGATAGATAGATAGATAGATAGATAGATAGATAGATAGATAGATAGATAGATAGATAGATTGATAGATAGATAGATTGATAGATAGATAGTATATAAAGCAATTTATATTTGTGATGAGCAAACACTGCACAACTTGAAACTAAGGTGATGATTTATAAATCATCCACCCCAAATATGCTGTCTGAATGCCATCCACATCAATTTCCTATACTCCTCGGGTCCATCTAGTGGTGAGAATGCCGTGGAAATGACATTTAACCAGTGTATGTCAGGGCAGATGATTTATAACTCATGCCCTTAGTAAAGCTGAAGGTGTTTGTAAAACCTAGGATCCTGCTAATTGTAAAAGGAAACATACAGTAATGGGTAACATAGTTCTCTGTACGCTGTGATTTCCCTGTCCCCAACTTTCCTTAGGCTTTATGATATTGACACATGTCAGGCATGCAGAACTCTATAAAAACTTATTTTACAGACACTACTGAGAAAAACACACAGCTATGAACAGAATGTTACCCCATAGTGTATTTATACTTTTTTAACACAATACTTTTAAAGGTAAAGTCCACCTTTAAGGCCTGGTTCACACCTGAACGTTTTGTAGCGCGTTCAACGCTCGACGAACGCTCTACAAAACGCTCAAACATCTAAATCCCATTGTATTCAATGGGTCTGGTTCACACCTTGCCGTATTTCCGCCCGTCCGAACGCGATACAAAGCGGCCTGCGCCCAAAGAAGTACATGTACTTCTTTGGGGCGTTTTGGTCTCGCGTTTCCATTGGGATACAGCCAAGTAGCCCACGGAAACACGCGTTTGTCGCGCGTTTTTTTAATGCGCGACGCGAACCGCGCGACAAACGCGCATATTCAATACGCCTAGGTGTGAACCCAGTGTAATGAAAAATAAAAAATAAACGCAGACTTCTTCGCAAAAAAAATATAACAAACGCAGACTTCTTCGTAAAAAAAAAATAGAAATGTGCACTTATTATTTTTTTGCATCGGAGCCAGTAAAGCTTTGCAACTGAGATCAGTGGATTGTCCTGCAGACTCTTCCTATCATGCATGCCTGTACCCAGGTACGAACATTCAGTAACATGGACAGGAGGAAGAGTGAATGGACTACAAGTGAGGCGATGTCACCCCACTTGTATTCTCTGCCGCGGTGGCTGTAGCTTCTCTATTCACAGATCCTGGCAATGGATGGATGACGTGGCTGTGTGGGTGGAGGGACTCACACTGTGCCAAATTCAAAAAGCAGCAGCCGGCGGGAAGAGGAACCCTGCGATTCAGGTAAGTGGGGGTCGGGAAGAGGGTTGTGATGTGACCTTGAAACATTGCCAGAAAAGTAACCTTATCCTTTAAACCAAGAAAATGGCTGCCTAGTATGTATGTATTATTTAACACACAAGTTAAACTAGCAGAGTGTCACGGGAGGAGAGCCACAAATATTTAGACACGGAGAGGGGCATATGAGACGAATGCAAGCCCAACACTGATTTCTATGCTGCAGAGCACTTAGAAAATATGTAGAAAATCTTTGAGGTGTGTGTTAAAAAGATATGGCCTGTGGGAATCAATGCATCTTTCACCAATAAAGCAGGGAATATAAATCACATCAAGGGAGAGCCTTGTCTGGGAACCTGTGTACAGATCCCTCCTAGCAACTAAAATACTCAAAAGGTACTGTATAGGCATCTACCAGAGGAAAGAGATCAAAATTTCTAAGATGTCAGTGTAAAACCCCATCCATTCTTTACATAGTTTTTAACATCCTCCCTTGGACTCAGGCCAGCAATCCTCTTCACTGCCGGTTCCTCCCGCAGACAATGGCATAGGATTATGATTACAGGATTTATAGAAGGAGCACATATATAATGGCTCACAGGGCTTATTGCAATCAGCATTATTGACAGGAAACCTGGCATAGCTGAAATGTCCCTGAAGGAACTAGCTAATGCACATTAATATCCGCATGCATACTTGTGGCATACTTACGTTTAACCGCCAGGAGAGTGTTACCATGGCAACATGCCACTGAAGTTACTGTATAGGGGTGGCTCTCCTCCAGTTGAACCATTTTAGGTACCTCAGTGCCCTCGTCTCTGCGTCCTAGTCGACCTCTGGCTCCTTTCCCCCATGTGAAGACTTGGCCATCTGCACAGACAGTGTCTATAGGCGTCAGTGGAGATTACTGTACCGCAACATAATACAAACAGACAGAACTTCTCCCATGTTGTCCTCATAAACGCCTCACAGTCATATGTAAAGACATGAAAGCAAGAAAAATACAACAATCTGTGTTATCACACTTGTCCAAATACTCGATTGGTTTGTTTTCCATGCGGCCGTCCAGGGTCTGTCCACATACATCTCACTGCTTAAAACAACATGTTACACAAAAAGAAAGGGAAGCTTTTCTAAGAGACACTGCGGAAAGATGTCAGCGGATGTTTAACACCATCTTGGGCTTGACAGGACAGGACAACATTCTACACCGAGGAGAACAAAAATAAAATGCAGTAATATACAGAACATATACAGTATACATGTTTAGTTAGGATAACACAGGGGATGTCCACCCAGATCAACCTTTTTATTTCAATGATATTGCAGCATCATGTTATCTAGTCCCAAACCAGAGATGTATTCCTTTGCCACTGCCCCCTCGCGAATGACAGAGTCTCATCGGAGTTTCAAACAGTAGTAGAGTGCATACAGCTCAGAGCGATCACAGCATACACAGCACACAGCATATACACAGAGCACAGGGAACATAGACAGCACACAGATCAGAGCACAAAAAGCACAGAGCATACACAGCACACAGTTTAGAGCACACAGCATATACATAGAGTGCAGGCAGCATAGACAGTACACAGCTCAGAGCACACACAGCATACACAACACATAGTTCAGCGCACACAGCATATACATGGAGCGCAGGCAGCATAGGCAGTGCACAGCTCAGAGAGCACACAGCATACACAATTACGGAAAATTGTTATCACATACTTACCGTAATTTTCCTTTCCTGGCTCTCCTCATGTAGGCATACTAATGGGTTAACCCCGCCCCCGGCTCCTAATTATCCTAAGTCAGCACAGAACAACTGTAGCTTTAAACATAAACCCTATCCCTTCACAGGGCTTACCTGGTACTGACAGCACTCTGGACCGCGACAGCCTGCAGGATAACGTTCAAACGTGGTGAAATACAGAGATACACAGCACTACTAGAGGATCGTCCGCAGAACTAGCCCCCAAGAGCGCTGTCTTTATACACCTATATGACCCCCACTGAGAGGGAGAGTCTCGCCGCTATTCGGCGTGCGCTCCACGCTGGCCCGCACTCCGATCCGCCCCTTTCACCGCCCATCCAATCCGGAGCGAGAAGGGGCGGGTCCTGCGCTTCACGCTGGGACGCATGGAGACGGCCGCGGCTGCTGCAGATACCCGCTGAGTTTATTCCGGGAGATCCCCGGTAAGAAGCCCCCCATGAGTCCGACTTACCATGCCCTCCAGCCTGTAACCTTTTAGGTTCTCTCCGGCCATAAAGCTCGGCACTGAGCATGCCCCATCCAGTGGTTTTACCACATACCGGGGCATCCACCACCCGGGAGTAGAGGCTGAACCCGGTGGGAAAAGAAAGGCCATATCCAAAATCAACGAAAAAAAAAACAAAAAAAAAAACTGCTAGATAGGTGTCCTGAGCGAGGACAAAAAAAGAACACAGAGGAGGTGGGAGAAGGGGGCTTTATGCTCTAGTTAGGGGTGGTCCTATTAGGAGCCGGGGGCGGGGTTAACCCATTAGTATGCCGACATGAGGAGAGCCAGGAAATACAGTTCAGAGCACACAGAGTGCAGGCAGCATAGAGAGTACACAGCTCAGAGCACACACAGCATACACAACACATAGTTCAGCGCACACAGCATATACATGGAGCGCAGGCAGCATAGGCAGTGCACAGCTCAGAGAGCACACAGCACACACTATACAGTTCAGAGCACACGGGATACACACTGAGTGCAGGCAACATAGACAGCAAACAGCTCAGAGCACACAAAACACAGAGCCCACACAACATACACCAATGATTCAATGAAGAACAATGAAAAACTAGCGCTTTCGGGGCCATACCAGGTCCCCTTCATCAGGCTTGTCCTTCTGAGCCTGATGGAGGGGACCCTGTGTGGCCCCAAAAGCACTAGTTTTTGAATGGCGATGTTCCGTCAATAAATTGACTTTCACGTTCTTCATTGAATCATTGGTGTGCTGGGGACATTTCCATACATTTGTTTTTTTCACGGTGCCATCCGTGGTCGCTTCAAGCACCCACCTGTATATCAGGTATCTTTATCCGGTAAGGAGTGCAACAAGATACTTCTTCTAGACACAACATACACAGCACACAGTTTAGAGCATGCAGCATATTCACAGATCTTAGGCAGCATAGACAGTACACAGCCCAGAGCGCACACAGTTCAAAGCACACAGGATATACACAGAGTGCAAGCAGCATAAACAGCACACAGCTTAGAGCACACACAGCATTCAGGATATACACAGAGCGCAGGCAGCATAGACAGCACACAGCCCAGAGCGCACACAGCATACCCAGCACACAGTTCAAAGCACACAGGATATACACAGAGTGCAAGCAGCATAAACAGCACACAGCTTAGAGCACACACAGCATTCAGGATATACACAGAGCGCAGGCAGCATAGACAGCACACAGCCCAGAGCGCACACAGCATACCCAGCACACAGTTCAAAGCACACAGATTATACACAGAGTGCAAGCAGCATAAACAGCACACAGCTTACAGCACACACAGCATTCAGGATATACACAGAGCGCAGGCTGCATAGACAGCACACAGCCCAGAGCGCACACAGCATACCCAGCACACAGTTCAAAGCACACAGATTATACACAGAGTGCAAGCAGCATAAACAGCACACAGCTTACAGCACACACAGCATTCAGGATATACACAGAGCGCAGGCTGCATAGACAGCACACAGCCCAGAGCGCACACAGCATACCCAGCACACAGTTCAAAGCACACAGGATATACAGAGAGTGCAGGCAATATAGACAGTACACAGCTCAGAGCACATAGAGCACAAAGCAGAGTTCAGATTCTAGAAGTAGCACAGAAATATACACAGCACACACTGCACTTAGCAAACAGTACAGAATACGGAGACTACAGAAAGTGCTACGTACATTTTGGCAGTCAAACAATATGAAGCTATTTCAAAGGTCATTCATACAAGGGAGCACGCTATTGTGAAATATTTGCTAACTTGGCGTCTTATAAAAATATCATTCACATTAGAAAGGTGTCTATTAACCCTTTCACTGCTGGGCTCAGCCTCCAATTTTTCACTCAAGGTGGCCAGACCATTTTGCTATTTATTTTACTTTCTTTTCCCCACTTACAGCTTTGAAAGTTAGTAAGATCCCCCAAACCCAAATTTGCATAAACAAATACAACATAACGTTCAAAGTTCTTAACAATAAATAAATAACTTTACCTGAATAAATAACTTAAATGTCTGTAACGTTTTAATTGTGACCTTTATGTGAAAAGGTGAAAACTTCAAATAAGTGAATTAGTGTCATTTTAATGATCACTTAAAGTGACACTAAACTCAGGAGTTAAATCTTAAAAATAGTAACTATTAATAAAATGTATCTTATTTGTGTATCACTCGGCTGTAGATCCTCAAATCATCTCTGAATTGGTGCTGACACTGTCCTTCCTTCTGGAGGGTGGCTACTTTTCTTCCCCATGGTCCCTGTGTGTGTTGTAAAGTAGCCACCGCTCCAAGTTCTCTCCTGTGATAGATTACAATCTCAATACAAATGAGTAAACTAAACATGAGATTATAGTCCATCACAGGAGTGAGCTTGGAGCGGTGGCTACTTTACAACACACACAGGGACCATGGGGAACAAAAGTAGTCACCCTCCAGAAGGAAGGACAGTGTCAGCACCAATTCAGAGATGATTTGAGGATCTACAGCCAAGTGATACACAAATAAGATACATTTTTGTTCATAGTTAAAGGAGAACTACGAGGTGAGTGATTTTCACTCAACCTCATAGTTCTAGCCGACGTGTGACAATGAGGCTGTCACAGGTCGGCTCAATAGATCGGGAAATGAGCGAACACATAGACTGGGTTCACATCAGTGCTGATCGAAGCGTTGAAAAAAGCTCAAGAAGTGAAATCCTATGAATCCCTATGGGCATGGTTCCCACTTGGGCGTATTTCAGTGCAATTTGTCGCGCTGCAAAATGCCCTACGTGCGAAAAAGAGCTTATTTTTCGCGCGTAGGTGCCGATTTCAGCCCGTATCTATTGGTATTCCCGAGTGTGGCTCGGGGTTAACAAAGCGGTAACCCCAAGCCACACTCGGGAATACAGAGTAGGTCTTAACTTGTCCGCGATCCCCGCTGGGTCCTCTGGCCGCTGCCGTCTTTCGGGTTCCGTCCCTTGCGAGCGTCCGCGTCGGAACCAGCGGGAAGTTTAAAAGTTAAAAAATTTTTACAAATAAATTGACAAAAAGATAGAGAAAATTTTTTTTCAAATCATACCGCCAGGGAGGTTAAAAAACGAGCGGCGAACGCACGTTTCATTGAAATAAGAAATGTGCTAAAAACGTACTAAACGTGCCTATTAGGAACGCCCAGGTGTGAACCCAGCCATACAGTCGCTCACTTCTCGATCCTGTCACTGTAGAGAGCCGCGGCTCCCTGCAGGGATTCCCCCCCCCCCCCCCCCCCCCCCCCAGCGAGCTATTGCTCGCGGTATACTGAGCGTTGGGTCACGGGAGGATGCTAGTTTATGTCCTCCCGTGACCCTGAGGAGAACTATTGGGAAAACACTTACCCCATAGTTCTCCTTTAAGCTACTTGAATGCATTGTTAAAATTTAACTCCCTGAGTTTAGTGTCACTTTAAAGTATATGCTATTCATTTTGAGTGACAACCCAACACACCTTGCCAGCACATCTCAACTCATACGAATTTCAGTGCACAACAAGATGGGACATATGTGTGTGTTGTGCTGCATAGAAAAAAAGGTTCATGCTTGATTTTGTGTGCACTGTGGAGCACTGGCACTCCATTAAAGAAGAATGAGCTGTCATAATGCAATGCATGTTAAAGTACAAAATAATGCCGGTTAAAAAAACATTTTCCCTTTGCCATTTTTAAAGCAAGGTGACAGTGTCTGTGAAAAGGCCCCCCACCCACTGATACTCACCTTCCCAGTCATCCCCTGTTCCTTCATTACTTGTGCGTTGTATTAAGGTGCGGTAAAACATTTTGTAACTGAAATGCACAGCAACACATATACCACAGTGCACTGTGGTGTCATTCAATTTGAATGCATTATAAACCCCTCATAGCTAATGACACCACACTTCCCATATTAATCATTCAAAGGATGGGAAGCTTTGCTAGTCACAAAAAAAAAAGTAACTTCCATCACCGTAGATGCCAACCACAGCATATAAGGCCTAACATACAGATGAATAAAACCTGTGGTTTTCCAAAACACAAGAAATCTGAAGTGCATCAATGTTGATTTTCTCACCAGGAATGACTAATGCGAGTTTGTTGGTACACAATGCTGCACGTCATCAGCTACACACTACATGAAATTTCAGCACAGCATGACTGCACTAAGGGTGGAATAATTGTGTTTACATATAGTGATTCAATGGTGGAGCTGGAAAATGCTACTAGAGACTAATGTCACTCCAGCACCAAAGTGTCACAGTATGATTAGGCAACACTGCAAACGTCAGTGATCAATCTCAAATCTCAGGTACCTTTGTGTAACATTTATTTGGTCATAATAACTATACAGCAAGAATTGACCATGTCGCAGACAACGTTTATTAACCCCTTTAAGAAAGATAAAAAACAGTTATTGTTCATAGTGGTTAAAATAAAGTGCATGCAGATGGTGATCAAAGGGCCTGATGGCAATAGATAGAAACCTGGGTGTGCAATGACCACGTACATACTGTATATGTGATGTCAATAAACAAATATATATACAGTAACAAACTCAAAGCTGGTGCTAATAAACCTATGCTATCTGCTCCTGATATAAAATGCAATCCTTGTTACCTGTATAAATATCTCCCTCATACAGTCTGACTTCCAGCTGCATGTAACATTCATCATTAGTGAATGACTGTTTACTATGATTGAGACACACAAGGCCTTGTGGTGCATACTGAATGGTCATAATTACAATGATTGTCTTCTGAGTAACTAAGATCAGAGTTTCAATGTATGATCAGTAAAAATGGCAGACACCTTTGACTGGAGTTGAGCTTTAATTTCCCTTTATTCTAAGTGAGCACTCCTGAATCTTTTTGTTAGACCTTGATCTACATCACCCAACATTCTGCTTCTATTAATTCTGTTTTTGTTAAAAAAACAAAAAAACTGCGGAGCTAATCCTAGCCCACAAGGCTGCATGAGAGGAAGCAATAGATTCCCCCATCCATGCTAAACAGCATAGATAGGGGAATCGTTCCTGCTGCTATAGTATTCTGACAACTGGCACTCACAACTAGCTGAATACATTGGATGCAGTGACTGTTCGGACAACTATTCTCCACCCGACTCCTTCAATTTTTGCAATGGAAGCTTGTTGAGCCCGGGTGGTCTCCACATGGCCAACAGTGCATGGCCAGCTTTATTTTCTGTATTTAGACTAAATCTCCTGTGGTCATAAAGAAGCAGTAAATGTAATGACTGCAATGTGTACAGTATACAATGTAAGCCTCACCTGCACAAACAGCTACTGTGAAGGCATCACCACATGCCACCAATGTCACCTTTAACCCTTGTGGTGCACTGACCAGATAGGGCACTCTACTGTTTCGGTGAGCGCTGGTGCCCAGCTGTCCGTGTTGATTGCTGCCAAAGGTATAGCACTGTCCGCGGGCTTAGATGGAGAAAGGGAAAAAAGAGCAAAGGAATGAGAGCAATATTTACAAAGTTCCCCCACTCATCTTTCATGCCTCTGTGTGTTTGCACATACAACAGCTTGTCAACGCAAATGTTAGCTTTACAGTGTCACAGTGAAAAACTTTCCTAGCCATTCACAAAAGCAGAGGTCTGTTGGTCATTCAGCTGAATACAAACACAAAATACCATTGTAAACGCATTTTACACATTAGCCGTTCTCTTGTCTCCCTACTCACCTGTTACTACAGCTGAGTGGGAAGTGCCTACATCTGCCCACAGAATGGTCTCCAGATGCAGAGGGGCTGATTGGACAGGGATGAAGATGTAGGTCTCTTCCATTTGGTCCTCAGATGGTGCTTCACTAACAGTTGTAATCTTATCTAGGCCTAGCTTGTTAAACCTGAGAAAAACAAAGAGGTGTCACACTTTATAGATGAAAGCAGAACTCCAGGCAAACATCTTTTATTAAAATCTGCTGTGCGAAAAATAAAAAGATACCTCTCCTGTGCTCCTGTGATGTAAGCCAATCACTGCCCTTTGTTTAAAAGTTTCATTTTCATTCATGCCAGGTAGTACATTTCTGGCTATACTTTTGGCCCGCTGGGGACATGAGAGTTGCGGCACTCATACACAGAAGCCATACTGTCATTTACTTGTCCTCCTCTACCCTTGGCCATACACAGAAGCCGTACTGTCATTTACTCGCCCTCCCCTACCCTTGGTCATACACAGAAGCCGTACTGTCATTTACTCGCCCTCCCCTACCCTTGGGCAAACACAGAAGCCGTACTGTCATTTACTCACCCTCCCCTACCCTTGGCCAAACACAGAAGCCGTACTGTCATTTACCCGCCCTCCCCTTGACTTGGCCATACACAGAACGCCTACTATTTTATAAATGGTCCACAGAATATAAGCCAGAATGGACATGGGGTGAGGGTGTGGAAATCAATGTTTATTGTTCCATTTTGACACCCTGAGGCATACAAGCATATGCTGAATGCTCCACTTTCATGAAGGTGATCATCCTGTACTCAGGTACAAAGACAATCATACAAATGTTTATTCTTTCCAACAAAAACACCAATTTGCAACCCAACACCAGCTAGATTTAACTGTCGGAGATGGTTTCTTGGAAACCTTAATGACTTTACATCTTTCTTCTATTGAAGGTATTTTTTTAATGCAATTAAAAGATATACACTGTATTGCCAAAAGTATTGGGACAGCCCTCCAAATCACTGGCTTCAGGTGTTCCAATCACCTCCATGGTCACAAGTGTATAAAATCAAGCACCTAGGCATTGAGACTGCTTCTACAAACATTTGTGAAAGAATGGGTCGCTCTCAAGAGCTCAGTGAATTCAAGCGGGGTCAGGGCATGCTGAAGCGCACAGTGCGCAGAAGTCGCTAACTGTCTGCAGAGTCAATAGCTACAGGCCTCCAAACTTCGTGTGGCCTTCAGATTGGCACAACAGTGCATAGAGAGCTTCATGGAATGGGTTTCCATGGCCGAGCAGCTGCATCCAAGCCTTACACCACCAAGTGCAATGCAAAGCGTCGGATTCAGTGGGGTAAAGCACACCACCACTGGACCACTGGCAATCCGATGGACGTGTCTGGGTTTGGCGGTTGCCAGGAGAACGGTACTTGCCTGACTGCATTGTGCCAAGTGTAAAGTTTGGTGGAGGGGGGATTATGGTGTGGGGTTGTTTTTCAGGGGTTGGGCTTGGTCCCTTAGTACCAGTGAAGAGAACTCTTAAGGCATCAGCATACCAAGACATTTTGGACAATTTCATGCTCCAACTTTGTGGGAACAGTCTGGGGATGGCTCCTTCCTGTTCCCACATGACTCACACCAGTGCACAAAGCAAGGTCCATAAAGACATGGATGAGCGAGTTTGGGGTGGAGGAACTTGACTGGCCTGTACAGAGTCCCGATAGAACACCTAGAACACCTTTGGGATGAATTAGAGTGGAGACTGGGAGCCAGGACTTCTCGTCCAACATCAGTACCTGACCTCACAAATGCGCTTCTGGAAGAATGGTCAAACATTCCCATAGACACACTCCTAAACCTTGTGGACGCCTTCCCAGAAGAGTTGAAGCTGTTATAGCGGCACAGGGTGGGCCAACTCAATATTAAACCCTACAGGCTAAGACTGGGATGCCATTAAAGTTCATGTGTGTATAAAGGCAGGCGTCCCAATACTTCTGACAATATAGTGTATATGTCCATTACAACTATATCATATACTTCAATTATTTTTTAACAAGACATTGATTTTTTCAAAGTCCACTGCATCCCTAAGGGATAATCTTAAATGTTTTAAGGCCTTTTTCCCTTTTTTGTATTATTTACTGTACATACAGTATAGTATTTTGTTACAGATATTTAGTTGTCTCTTGGGATATCTCTGATTGGGCGATATTTCATGATACTGAGGAAAAACGTATAAAGTACATATAGATATATAATACAGATACTATTTTAGTTTTTTTTAAAAGATGAAATAATAAACCAATTATTTGGTTACTGATATTTTTTATTTTCAGTTAGATGATGGAGGGATGGATCGCCCACCCAACATAATGAAAGAGTCAGACCTCCAAGCTATAGGAGAGCTATAAGTGTTGCTGCTACAGTCCTCCAGTGATATAAGAAACTGTTGGTGACTTAGTATCAGTTTTGGATATTTCAATAAATAGCAGAGTCCCTGCATTGCCTTTGATAAGGACCACAAAGCATGAAAAGTAACTGTTGGAGATATCCATCATTCTGTGCTCTCTATACAGATGAAGGTGACATAAAAAAGCTATGCTTTAGGAGTTAAAAAAGAGAAAGTACTTACCTGCAGGTGCCTAAAATGACTGCCATATAAAGAAAGTATAAACAGGAATGAATATTATTGTACATAAAGTGCACCATGAAACCTGTAAATGCTTCAAGACCCACACAGCTAAAAAGAACTGAACATACGCAGGAGAAATAATACTAATGTTCCACATAGTGTGACCCAAAGGCAGATAAAAGCACCAATTATTGATGACACAAACATGTAATTCACTCGCAGGGGTAGGCAACCTTGGCACTCCAGCTGTGTTAGAACTACAAATCCCGTCATGCCTCTGCTTCTGGAAATCATGCCTGTGGCTGTCAGGGTTCTTGCAATGCCTCATGGGACTTGCAGTTCCACAACAGCTGGAGTGCCAAGGTTGCCTATCTCTGTTAAAAAATAGAGTAAAAAGGAATTTCACTTTTTTGTGATTTAAAATGCACAGCATTTAGATATACCAGATTCTTCTTTTGCAAACAATACATAAGGCGGAATTTACGAAAACTGTAACAGACAAAATCTGGAGCAGCTGTGCAAAGTAACCAACCAGCTTCCATCTTCAGCTTGGATACGATTAGGAAACAAAATCATATGGCAAGTCCATTGACTGTAAACGTGAATCTGTTTTCCAATGGTTTACATTTTGTATACTAACCAGCCAAGGAGGACAATTCAACATGACACGCACAGCTCCATAAGATGGCCATTTGTTGAGAGCATTAAAGTAGGTGCAAAAGTTACCCGTTTCCTAATGAATGACCATAATAGATGTGTCTCAAGTATTGAAATTCACAGAATGTCTTTAATAATTTGTTACATTGTTGGTGATGATAATGCCCTGTGTGTGATATATAAAACATGTAAAAAATGTATTTCACGGGGTTCCTCTCCCTGTTCATGGAGGCTGCACGCCCCCCC